AAAGTTTTACTATATATTTATTTTATTTTAAAATTATATTTAAAAATTTTATAAGTTTATTCCTATGCATTATTGCACGGGTTTACAACTAGTATTTTATAAAAATTATTATTATTCCTTAAACTGTAAAGCAATTCCAGGCAAATTTGTCTAGAAAATTACTATAAATTTGCTTATAATCTACTTTTTTTAAATTTTAAAATATTTAAATAAAATTTTTTTTGATAATATTTAAAAATAAAGATTATATTATCCCTTAAACCGTAGACTTTTGCAGACAAATTTGTCTGCAAAATCTGACCACTAATCATACATTTTTATCCCCACCAAAGTCATATGTTTAAGTGATATAATTAGGTCATTAATGTATTGTTTAGAATTGTTAGATGTCAGAATTTTATTAATCAGTGTGAACTATAATTTAATTAGTGTAAATTTGTAGATATACTTATTATATAATGAATATGGAAGTTTCTTAATTTTGCAAAACTGTATACATATAGCAATGCCGAAAATTTGTTATTTGGAGCATTTACTATTTATATACAAAACTATGCTAACTACTAATTTAACATAAAATTGTTTGACAAAGAAAGTAAATAAAACTTAATTACTATAAACAAAAAAGTTATTGCTCTTTTTTTTTTTTTTTTTTTTTTAAGCAATCTTGTCTTTATTCATTGGAACTACTCAACAATGAAAGTACAAAGCACTTGTATTTTTAAAGCATAATGTTCTAATCTAATAAAAACTCATCAAGCAAAATGCCCAAAGCAACCTGCTATAACAACTATTAGTCTCACTCAGAATTCAACACTTGTGTTGAATTTCGTACTAACAAGAGTACCTCTCTTGATCACAGACAGGTTGTTGTATACCTTGTCAAGATACCCATCTTCTTTTAAAACTTTTTCCACCTAGATCCTGGCAGAATAATTAAATCTCTTACATTTGTATAAGGGAAGAAAATAATGCCAAAATTTACGAAAGACCGGAAATTTAAGGCATATATAAACAAGAATCGAACAAAAACCCTAAACTCTATCTATACATAAAGGGACAAAGATAAAAAAAGCAAAAAAAAAACAGACGAACCTGACACATATAAGAAATGAAGATGCACTATTATAACCCATGTCAGGTTGATAAAAATTATATACAAGAGCAATATCTGTATATCTCTACTATAAAACTATACTTTATCATTATTTTTCTTTCTGACCCAACTCTGGATTTTTCTGTAAACCTAATTCGTATCTCAAGCAGGTGCTGTCGCCGTCCGTAGACCCGTATCTCAAACCACTTGCTACCACAATTAGAGATTTCTTTTTTAACTAGGACCTGTTCCAGCACTTGAATGTTATATCTATTTTCGGACACGTGTTGCTATCTACTAGTCTATCCGGATTTGGAGATAAACAATGTTGATCTTTTGTCAGGGTAAGCCAAATCCCCACTTTTTTTGAAAAAATTTTGGAAGACCGATAGGAAGGTGGGTAGGAGTAAAGAAGGAACCACTTGGCCAAGTAAAAGAGTGCGGCTTAAAAAATCTACTTTTGTTGTTTCCCCTGTGTTCTTCTTCAGAAATAAACAGTCTAGGTAACTTCATCGATGAAGAAGACACCAGTCCCTTCACCAAGATTTTGTATCCAAGAGTGCATACCTTCTGCTAGTTATCTTGTCTACCAATGCTTTTGGCTTGCATGTCGAACACACAACTTATAGAGGAGTCCCAGAACAGAGAAACCGTTGACCTTTAGGCAAACCGTTACATTAGACTACAACGACTCTCCAACAAAAGGTCATTTTCTTTTAGTGAGCAATTTTGGTCCAAATGATCGTCAGGAAGAGTGTAGTTATTGCTCTTTTCGATTTAGTTGGATCGATGAATTTTGCAGATTTTTTTTTGTCTATAAATCCATAAGTTTCATATTTGTATATATCTGCATATAACTAATTGTTAGCTATCTATTATATTATGACAATAATAATTATATGCAGATATATGCATATACGAGACCACAGATTTATAGAATTTACAGACAAAAAAAAAATCTGCAAAATTTATCGATCCAACTAAATCGAAAAGAGCAATAAGTAATATTTATCTAATTAATTTATACCCATTATATGCAATACTCTTTAATATACATACTAATCTTTGCTTATTTATTACATGACAGTTCAGCGATAGATAATATATTTATTGATAAATAGTTTGAGAAACTTATTGTAATAAATATTATGGAAGAGTTTTAATTTCAAAATCATACAATTTTATCAAAATAAAAAAAATAAATTATGTTTAAAAAAACCTTTTATACTAAAAAACTATTCACTATATATATAAAATTCGTAGTTGCAATATGGTCTTGTTTTGTTGCAACATAGTAGAATATTGCATTCACAGCACCAAAAATTTGTTTGTGGAGAATTCTGATTATCAATTTTTTTTTTGTTTTTTTTTGCAAGATAGCAGCACCAAATACATGATACTCAACTGCTTCTCCATTCTAAAAAATGACTACCAGGCAATTTCCAGCATATTGGGAGTTCAAAATTTTTGCAACATTAACATTTGAGATAAGAGAACTAGTAGTTGAATATTGAGAGCTTCTTGTATTAGACACTTGACTTGTTGAATCTTGTATAAGTTCCCAAACAAGATGTGTGTGAAATTCTTTACTGTTTAGTGAAGTTTCAATATAATCATTAGAGTTTGAATAAATAATATGAGCATTGACAATTGATGTATCAAGTAGCCAAAAAAATAATGGAAGCCAATTTCGACATGCTTTAAGTTGGGAAAGATAGTATGAACATCGTTAATCAGCTATATTAACACCCCCTATATGATGATTGTAGTCATTAATAATTTTTGGAATTGGCAATTGCTTTCGTGGGGAGTTACTAAAAATTGCTCGAACTTTTGTAGCATTTAAACTAGTTTTTCGTAGACGTTAGCGCCAACAATTAATTCGAGATTTATTTCCAGTAATATTATGAATTGTACTTAATATTGTTACTGGTCCATTATCAACCCAAAGAATGGTAAGCACATTATTTATAACTACTTCTGAAAGTGTATCCCATTCTAAAGATTTTATATTATGAACTTTTAATTCTTTTGAAAATTTTGCTGAATTTGTACGAACTGTGCTACATGCACCAATTCCTTTGTTTCGCAAATATTGAAATAATGGAATTAATATAAAATAATTATCCATATATATCGTAAAAGCACGTTTTTTCAAGTAGAAGTTGGAATACTAAGTGGCAAACATGTTGACCTATTTCATTAATACCTTGAATAGTAGGTAAGTTGGCTGTTTTTTCAATATGTGATGAAAAAGAAAATGTCTATGTATATCCTAAGTCACATAATGATAGAATTTTATAGCCTTTAGGTGTAGGTTTAGACTTCATACGTACTATATGCACACTTCTTCCAGAGAAGTGTGCAATCATTTCATCTACAGCCACATTTAAGCTTGGCATATACATTTTTTTATATACTTTCTTAATAGATGAAGCAAGAGGCTCAACTTTTGAATATCAATATGGATAAGATTTACTTGGATCAGATATATGCAAAAAACGCTTTATTTGTTCAAATTGATTTATTGATATTTGATTCGAAATATAGTATACTAGATGTTGATGATTTTTAATTCAAAGAGATTCAAGTGATGATATTTTGTATATATCCATATAAATAACCATTGCAATCCAAATTCGTAATTCATTAAGATTGAGACTCTCCCATGCTCATCCTGTACCTTCTGAATTTTGAATAGTATTATACTTATTTGTTGATTATATTATTTGCTTAAGGGAGTTAATTGAAAAAAATTCATAAAATAACATTAAAGGAGTTATTATTTCAAGCGAATAAAAATGACCAGGAAGAATTGAATATCCATTTTCATGAAAAGGAAGCTCATGCTGTAATAGAGTGAATTCTGGCGAATTTGGAAGATTTATTTGCTAGCTAACTTTACTGTCACAGTTACTTTTACTTGCTCTTGATCCACGTGGTCGTTTTCTAGTCCGTTCACTACTTCTAACAGTACCAACTACTGGAATCTTAGTAATCTCAGTTGAATTATCTTGAGAATTCGATTCTTCATCACTTTCTTGAATAAGATATTCAAAATTAATTGAATTATCTATCAAATGTTCTCATGATAATTTTGCAAAAAACATGCTTCAATCTCATTATCACTTAATTCTGAATCGCTACTATTAATTTCTTCATAATCTTCGTAACTATCCATATTTTAAACAAATAATTGCTTGTATAATGAAAATGATAAGCGTTTGGTTAAGATATATAGAAATTTTTAAGCATATATAAAATAAAACAAGTACTTTCTTTACAATTTTTTTTATTTTTGATATATCAAAGCATCAATTTTTTATTTCTTTCTCTGCTTATATACAATAGAGCACTACTTTTTTTTTATATCATCACTATATGATAGATTTAATATCTATTATGCTTCGTTATGATAAATTTGATATCTATTATATATTACTATTTAATAAATTTATGCTATGATAAATTTGATATCATTATGCTTCGCTATTTGATAAATTTGATATTATGCTTCGCTATGATAATTTTGATATCTATTATGAATTGCTATACAATATGATATACTATCTAATACAATTTAAAGAATAAAATTTATATATACATCAATATTAAGATACATGATTAAATCTAATACTAAATCTATATGCATTACTCTACTAATTTAATACATATTCAGATAAAAAGTATTCTTTCTAATATGCTCTTTCTAATATACAAAACTATATCAATATAAGTTACTATTTAGCAATTAAGCTTACTATATTTGTCACTAAAAAAAGGAGAACTCCAAGCGTTAAAATTACCATTTCTGTTAACTAAATATTTATACTAATAAATATATTTCTGATTAAATTTTATGTGTTAATAAAAAATATTTTCTTTAACACTTACTGAAAATTATTAACTGAATTAGAGTTAAAACAGAGGCTATATATAAAATTGGTTTATTAATATTTATTAGTGCTACAAGATATATGCTTCTCTTATTTATTTAGTGTTAATTAAAATTTATTGTATAGTCAATTATTATGACACATTTTATTGAAATTTAAAATCTGACTATCAGTATAAAATTTCAACTTGACAGACATAAATAGCACACTCTGTAACAACTTGTAATCTGATGAGACGATGTATTAACGTGACTTTTACAGGAGTTATTTTACTATTCTAAAAGAAAAATAATAACAATGTGCTATTAAATATAGTTAAAAGTGGTATTGGTTAAAAGCTCTATATTAGTAGTTTGTCTAGCTATGATTTTACTTAGGCTTATATTGTGATTTATATGAGCTGTACTAGTAAAAACAATTTTGATCAAAAATTTGCAGGCAAATTTGCCTGCAAATCAGTTTAAGGGATAGTAGTATTTAATTTTATATTATAAGAAAAAAAGTTTGGATTGCTTATAAGCTAAAAATAGACAAATTTAGAAAA